ATTTAACCAAATGATGAACTTGTACACTAGACACTTGAAGACTATTATTTTGAAGAATTTGTTGGACCACCGGAAGTGAGGGGTGCCCTTGACTCTTACAGCACCGAGAGGTTGATGGTTTTACAACACCAAGCACTTGTTGTCCAGGAAAATCCTGCTGGCCAGCAACGGGAACAAGCCCCACCTACTCCTGGCGCGCGTGAAAAACTATTCTCGAGTGGCATGAACCTTAGCAGGTAAACTTTAAGATATACATGATTAGCTTTGTTAAGTTGATATGCGAAAAGGAGACTATTAGTGGCACGAGGAGCATGGAAAATATTTTTTTAATTGTAAAGAACCATGCGTTGTTGAAAGAACCATACGACCAACATGTGCAATATGCCAATATCCACATGCCGGTGTAGCGATCTTGAACTACCGAAGCTTTCTCCAATTCTCCGGTATGTAATTTGTAATGTATGGATTTCGAGAGGTGGACGTTTAAGGAGCATGGTTGTGGGCAAGGGCAAATAGGAAGTGATTGGTCACTATCGGCAGACACGTCTAGATGTGTCCGCAAACGTATAGGGGGCCACATTTGACAATCGTGGTTCATAAAGAGTTCAGGATCGCAATACGCTGTACGCAAGTAAGAATATGTATGGTTCACATAGAAAACACGAGGAGTAAACAAATAAAACTATACGCCGAATGAAATAGTCATGGTATCTAATATATTGTACGGTTCACACATGCATACATGTGAGAAAGAAAAATTCCACCGTGTAATGGATCTAATCTAAGAGTACAAGTGATGCATGCATGTGTGAATAAGATCGCCAGATAAGTTTGCTGAGAGTTTTGTACAATCATGAAACACGATGGAACCGTGGACATAGTGAAAAGCCCCAGAACTAAAAGAGAATGAAATTTCAGTCCTGAACTACATTAGAGTAACCACTCTAATCGATCTATACGAACATCCATGCATGTAAGATCGGTCGAACATGGTCACTAGTCATTCTTAAGCATAGCTTAGCTTCTCCTCATGCCAGTCCACCACCTGAACACGGCGCGTTCATCTTCCTTGATCTGCTCCGGCGATGGCTTCAGATCCTGATCAAGGCCCTCGTCCATGAGGCGTAGATACATGTGCTTGAACATCGCGGGGTTGCGGGCGAAGCACTTGCGCAGCGCTGCCGTGGCCTTGACGCAGGCCTTGGCGTCGACAACGCGGTTGGCAACGTCACCTCGCTCCTGCATGAACTCCTTGGGTGGATTTGGGTGGCACTTGCTCATCGCCATGGCGAAGTCCTCGCCGCACCCGCCATTAATCACGTGATGCACGACGACCCTCTGGTCGCTCATGACGGCGACCCCCGCCATTACCGGCGGTACGATAGCTTCCACTGCCTGCGGTATGATGACATCCGCTGCCTTGGGTATGATAACTTCCGCCGAATCTTCGGCTATTGCTTGGACTATTGTACGCCAGATCCCCATGGCGCGTGTGAGGGTTTTGATGGGGAGATCAATCGAACGATCGCCGCGTTGCTATGATATATATAAGTTTGGCTATTGTACGGCCTTGGATGGAGCACGTGTGCTGATATTCCAAATCCATGACGAGACGTATCAACTTGGATCACGTATGCATCGTACGTACGTTGCAACCTCCATACCGTACGTTGCTTGCCTTTTCTTTCGCGTCAAGAAAAAACCTGCCTTTAATATAAAAAAACCTACCTTTTTCTTTCAGATCTGGAATACTCGTATATCCTTCAGATGTACATGTTGTAACAGGTATAAACAAATCTTTCGCTAATAATAAAGCACGGATCGGCTCAGTGGGTTCATCATCACAATGCGCTTTCTTCCCATGTCATAATACGCTTCTTCCTGTCCGTTTTTTCTTGATTTGATATTTTTCCTAATATCCGAGGTGGTACTATCTATTTCTTCAACAGCGCGTTTATTTATATGCGTCCGTATGTGCACTAAAGGGCCCGTGTGTTGCAACGGGAAAAAAATAATTGTAATCTCCACTGACCGTGACTACATTTTGCTGCACACCAAGATACACTATCACATGCAATTTCGTGAAATCATGAACATTTTTTAAACTCATGCACATGTATGAATCGTGAACATTTTTCAAATGCGTAAACACTTTTAAAATTTTCAAACATTTTCTAAAATCAAGAGCATTTTCTGAATTTATGAATGTTTTATAAAAAGTGCAAACATTTTTTAAAAAGTGATCATTTTTAAACAATTTTCTTGAATAGCGAACATTTCTAGAATCAACGAATATTTTTTTATTTAGCAAAAGGGCCCGTGGGTTGCAACGGGAGGAAGAAAAATCATAATGTCCCATGGTCATGATCAAATTTTGCTGCATCACCGAGATACACTATCTCTCTCATTTTCATGAAATCATGAACAACTTTTCAAGATCATGAACATTTTTTTTAACTCGTGGACATTTTTCAAATTCACGAACCTATTTACAGATTTTCGAAAATTTTCAAAATCATGAACATTTTATAATATCTGCAAATATCTTTCTATCTGCAAATCATGAACATTAGTAGGAAAAGATATTTTCTATCTGCGCTCTTGCTCGGGCCTTGCCTTGCGATCGTTTCGTGGCTGATGCGTTGCCACTTGGGCCTTAGCCCGTCTGCGTGAGATGTTCAAGCGAGTGTTTCTGTAATAAAAAGTACTAGAAGATTATGGTTAATAGATAGTCCCACATCCCCCACAAAAAAAAAAGATAGTCCCACATCGTTTACTTGTAGACAGTCCCATCCGTTTAAATGTGTTTGTGAGTTGACCACAACAAGCAGCATCAAAGGAGTTGGTCAAAGATGAAATTAATCGAACGGGAGATGCTACCTCAAGAATCAAGGAGGGAACTGAGGGCGGGGCGGAGAATATGAGAGAGCAGCGCTACTGGGAGCTGGGTGATGATGGATGAGGAGCAGCGTTGTGGATAAGGGCCACGAAAGCTCTGTCGGTGCTTTTTTGGATGTGAGAAAGATGGAGTGAGAGATGGGAGATGGAAGCAGATGCATCTCGGTGGAGATGAATGATAAGCATAAGATAGCTAGCGGTGGAGATGGCCTGATGGGTGTTACGTGCCGGTGGCTAGGCCCCAACATTATTTTTGTCAGCCGGTTATTAATATTTCTTGCGTTCGGGTCAACACTATAATCTTCCAAATCAAACAAACCTCCCATTAAAAAAACTACATAATCAAAATCATTAGAATTCATTTCGCAAAAGAATATTAGAATTCAAATCTTTTGATAATTTGATAAAATACTTAAAATGGATTATTAAATTCTTCAAGAGTATGTAAGGGCATCTCCAACGCCGACCCACAAAAAGCCCGCAATCATCCAGACCTCATGGTTCGGACGTGTTTTATCATCAAATGCTGGTCTGCGTCGGCCCGCCGACTGGTCCGAACTTAATTTCTCCCGCAATCCAAAAACTAACTGGGGGCTTTGCGGGCGTCCGGACATCTGCCACCCTCGATTCTATCTGCCATGGCCCACCCAAACCCCAGCCCCCCATTCCCACATCCTTCCCGCCCGAAGTGGTCAGCGCCGCTCCAGAGCACAACGCTGCATTTATGCCGGCTCAGAGCGACGCGACCTCTCACTGGCACTCCCGCATTGAAAGTGGCGCCTCCCGAGAGTGCCGCTCGCGCTGTTTCCGGTGCACGCGACAACTCCATGTTCAAATGACATGTCATCATTCTGCCTCCCTACATTAAACATGTGCGGTTGCCCAAGAACCTACTCCGACGCCACATGTTCGTTTGTCTATTGCCCACCATTAACCACCTCGTCAATTGCCCTGCCATCTGCCGACTATGTAAACTCCAGACCTGGCCATAGCCGCATTCATCCTCCTCCTCGCCGCACAACGACTGTCATGGCCGTGGCGCGGCGACCAGAAGACTGAAATGCCACCATTGCTGCCGGCCGGCCGGCAGACAGAGGCATGCACTGCGGACATCCCAATGGAAGATGTTCGGAAAATTAAAAAATATTCATGTTTTATCCATAGTTTGTGTATTAAAAAAGTTAATGAAATTGACCAAATTTTGCCAATTCAAATCATATGAAAAATATCCTAAAAATTCAAAAAATGTTTTATTCATTCATAAAATATCCGCTGATTCAAAAAAAGATCATGCATTACCAATAATGTTTGTTAATTCGAGAAAAATGTTCGTGAACTTCAAAAACTGTTCCACTAATTTCCAAACAATGTCGTCCATGCTAGAAATGTTCTCCGATTCAAGAAAATTGTTAAAATAATGTTCAGAATTTTTAAATAACTTTACAAATAGTATAAAATGTTCATGAATTCAAAAAAATTCTTGATTTTAAAAAATGTTCAAAAAATTTAAAAGTGTTCATGAATTTGAAATATGTTCACGAGTTTCAAAAAATGTTCATGATTTCGTGAAATTGAGATTGATAAGGAATCTCGGTGATACAGCAAAATGTGATCATGGCCATTGGAGATAAAAAAAATTCTTCCGTTGCAACGCACGGACCCTTTTGCTGGTACTATATATATATATATATATATATATATATATATATATATATATATATATATATATATATATATGCTTGACCTTACGGAACTAGGGCGAGACGGCCTTAACGCGCGGTGCCCAAGGATTCAGAGGCGTACTTCCTACACGTCAGCACATATTACGTCACCAGAAGCAGCCCATGTACGTGCGGCGTCAAGAAGAAGCAATCAGAGGGCTGGCTATATTTGGGATGATTGGACAGGAAGGAGCTAACAACAATGAACTAGCTATATTTGGGATGCACATAAAGAAAAGCTCTATAACTAAAAGATAAAAGAAAAATCAATCCAGAAATAAGTTTGTGCCACCAATATGATCGTTTTAGTCTATCTATACGATTACAGAACATGGATGCATGTAAGATGGATCGATCACCACCTTGCATATACATCATAGGTTAGCTTCTCCTCATGCCAGTCCACCACCTAAACTTGGCATTCTCTTCTTCCTTGACCAGCTCCGATGTCGGCCTCCAGTCCTGGTCGAGGCCCTGATCCATGCGGTGGAGGTATTGATGCTTGAACATCGCCGGGTTGCTGGCGAAACACTTGCGCAGCGCCGCAGTGGCCATGACGCAGGCATTGACGTCGACAACGCGGTTGGTGGCGTCCCCTCGCTCCTCGATGAGCTCCTTTGGAGGACTGGGCTGGCACTCCCTGATCGCCGTGGCCAAGTCCTTGGCGCAACCGCCGTTGGCCACGTGATGTAGGACGACCGTCTCGTCGCTGATGATGGCGATCTATGACAGGACCAGTGGTGTCATAAGCTTCATCGTCACTCCCGCCGTTTCATCCACTATCGCGCTCCAGATCCCCATGGCGTTAGCTAGGGTAGCAACGAAGCTGATCGATCGATCGCTATGTCGCTTTGAATAGGTACCGAATATCAGCTTGGCTTGGGCTTGTTTATAGTATATATATTTCAAAAATCGTCTCCAGTCGGCTTGTTTATAGTATATATATAACTTGTCGATCACCTGTCAAATAACGAAGAATCCATGCACGGTACGTAGGAGTACCGTGCATGTCTTATTTTTTCGAGAAACGAAAAGATCGTCTCCAGTCGGCTCGTCGGTGGTTTAAACGCGTTTAGTTATCAAAAAGCAGGTCAAACGTACAGTACATGTCTTCTTTTCATCACAACGTACGCTCGCTCAAACAAATAAAAAAAAACTACTATCACAATCGATCGCTCGCTCGCTCGCTGACCCGCGCATGCACGCGTGCGTCGACTCTTGTTTCCCCAGGGAGGGGGTATTTAAAAAGAAAAAAAAATGGATAAAGCTCTCTCTTCTCTTCTGCCCAAAAATTTAAAAATTAAAAATTAAAAATAAATAAAGGTACGTACTCGATCAAGTACCCGCCGCCGTACCACTAACTCTTGTACGGACGGACGCGTTCGTCTTTCTTTTCCCTGCTTCCATCCATCCATCCATCATGTTGCATGCGTCAATACGGAGTCAACCATACGCGGCCAGCAAGTCGACAGGCAAAAAAAAGTACTCCCTCCCGTGGTCGACGGTTAGCCGTGGTGCCTCACGCACGACGGCCGGCAAGTGTTTTTAGAGATTCCAATATAAGCTATATACGAAACAAAGTGTGTGAATCTGTACTCTAAAATATGTCTATATAATGAAGAGAGTACAAAATTTAACCATCCCGCAATCCTCGGTTCAAGCAACACCGTTGGTCGGTCGGTCGGCGATCACATGCATGGAGGCAAGCATATTGCAATTAGGTGCCACGAGTCGAGGCACGCCAAGTGGTGGCCTGATTGCCAGTCAAAACCTACCGCGAAGGGACTAGATCAAGAGTTCATCGGACGCTAGCTACTTCGCGACGACAGCCTGGACAGTGAGAGGCTTGCTATAGCACAAACTCAAGAACTACCCCGCAAAAAAAGAAGAAGAAGAAGAAAAACACTATCTAGTACTTAAACGCAAAAGGAGGAAATTCAATCCCAAACTAAGTTGTGCGTATTTATATCCAACTAGGAAAAGTGCCCGTGCGTTGCAACGGGAGAAAAAAAAAATTCACGCCTCATACATACACTTAACGACATCAGCAAATCCTTGAAATCTTTCATGATGCCACGCAACAAGCAACATGATAACTTTTCTAAAAAAACAAGCAACATGATAAGTGGTGTTGTGCAAAAACATAAAGGTGTGATGATTTTTGAAGTGAACTGAAGGTGTTTAGAATTCATTATACAACGCAAATATCTACCTAGTTGCCAATATAGGTTTACGCATTTGTTGTTGTTTCTCGGTGACGCAAAAAAAATATTGCATTAGAATGAAATAGCAAAGTACATTTTAGTATTTAATGATAACATGTGCATAAGTGTTTTCATATACTCCCTTCGTCCAAAATAACTTGTCCCAAGTTTGTCCCTCAAATGGATGTATCTAACACCAAATTAGTGCTAGGTATATCTCTTTGAAGGACAAGTTTTTTCGGACGGAGTGAATATACCCAGC